TAATCCAACTGGTATGATAAGGAGCAGAGAAGGGCCTTGCACATTGGTTGGATAAATTTTGGTGGCTGCAGGGAGGGTTTCGGCTGTTAAACGGTTGTTGGAGAGGCTCGAACGTTTCTACGAGCGAGCATACAAGGGGGTTTACAGTAGAAAAGACCGACGAACAATGCAGTCAAAGGCAACCAAATCGACAACAATAGAGGCTGACATGATTTTCTTGCTCATAAGGGGCCAACAAATTCGTCAGCTTCATCCTAAGCAGACGAAATCGGCTAACTATGTAGATTAGAATCCCAACGACGCAGTCGAGACCGACGAGCGATCCAATCAGACCATTCTCTACAGAACTGACGCAGACAGAGGAGATTAGCAATCCAGTCTAAGCGTTTGACAGCGTCGATCAATGTAGGCAGACGAAAGATGCCCTAATCCTGTCAAAACAAAGCATGGAGCTCTGATACCATGAAGAAAGGTTTAGAAACATTATTCACCTATTTAAAATATTTATCAAATTACAACCTTTCCCCTATTATATAGGGGACGGCTTTAAAACTATTACAACTTATAAAATACAAAACAAACAACAAAAAAAAGATAACATGATAAGAAAGTAATAAAAAAAGAATAAATCTGAAATCAAAAAGTCCCTCCAATAGTGATGTGAGTTCACCCAAATCACAACAAAAATGAAAATATTATTGTTGAAATTCAAAAGGGATTACAAACAAAGACTCTTAATAACAAGGAAATAACAACACAAACATAATTGACTCTCTAGCGCGAGGCCGAGAGAGGCGGACGCGGCTCAAGAGCAAGTCGGAAGGAAGGTGGATATGCAGCGGCAGACAACAGGTGTCTAGATGGGAGTTGTGGTCAGCAACAGAGAGTTGTCTGGAAGAAGGGTCGTGGCAAGTAGCGGGGGTGGTTTGGGATTTCAGCGGCCCATAGGAAGGAGATTCATGGATTAGCAGCTAAGAGCATAAGAGGGGAAAGCAACAGAGGGGGAAGCAGCGGAGGAGAGTAGGGGAATTGCGATATAGTAGGTTGGGCGGCAACAGCTCTGAACTGAGATGGGAGTAGTTGCAACAGCAAGGTGGGAGCAGAGGATTTGCGACAGTGAAACAAAAAGGGTGGGAAGTCGGAAAGATGGCATTGAGCAAGTGAGGGGAATATGAAAGGAGGATTATTCCTGTGGGAGCGAGTTACAACCAGAGCACCCCTAGAAAAGATCACCACCTCAAAAGAGTTTTAGTAGGAATACCTCCTCGCCATCAGATACAGCCCGAGAGGGGAAAAAAACTACACAGAAATTTGAAACATAACATATAATAATCTGAACACTAAATAAACAAACCACACATATATAATCACTAATGGTAAAATAGGAAAGGGAGGCCATCAAATTTGGGTGCAACCAGAAGGGGAGAGAGTTGGCAGCAAGCTGAGAAGGAGGGGGGTAACGTGGGCGGCCAACCCCGCCCCAAAGGAAGGTCGACCAATCCAGTAGGAGGCTGAACTCGAACCTCTCTAGTTCGGTTCAGTCAAACTCTCAAAGCCTCACGTCAGTTCCCAAAGCCCCGCATCAATCTCTCGGGGCTAGAGAAGCTTCAACCTCATTCATAGAAGCTTCTGATCCTCTTTTGAGGTCCTAGTAGTACCTTGATCCCACTATCGCCCGCACTATGTCCCAACGCATCAAGGAGTTTTCTCCACTTGCGAGCATACATCCATATCAATCCGCTCTCCTGGGGGTCCGTTGTTGAATTGCACTAAGTTTGTGTGTCTTGTCTATGCTGCTAAATACTCCCAAAGCAATCTGCAGTCAACTCAACCCGATTTGAGGTGAGAGTAGATTGAACCTCTCCGAACGATGGCGTTCATGGTGGTAATATATTGATCGTGATATCCCACAATGCACTCTGTCGTGATTATCCCGAATCTGGAGCATGTAACCCAGTCCTCTCATCGACTGTCGTCACCAAAACTAGCTCTATCGACGCTGCTCTGCTTGAAAGGGCGCCTAAGATCTCATGCTCCACCAAAGAGAGGACTGTGTTTTCCATCCTTAGTGAAGGAATATGGGTTTCTGAATCCATTGCATTGAGTCATCCGATCAAATTGCCATGAATTTCCCAAAAAAAAGTGACAAGCATCGATGGGGACCACATCACACCACATATGATCCTGCATCTGAATCCCAATCAAAAACTGCACGAGACACCAATCAATGCTGACCCTGTTTTCCTTCTTCAACCACGTCAGATAACATGGCTGGGAGTGACTCTAAGTCATCATACCCAATTTCTCTACCATCTGCGTAGAAGCCACATTCTTACTGCTCTCTCTATGGATGATGAGACCGCAAACTTTCTCGTTCATAGTATAACGGGTGTAGAATATATTGTGATAAAGCCACTGTGAATCCCTCATATCCTCGGCATGTAGAACCCGTTGAACTACGAGCATCTCGCCCTCATCAAATGGAAGATGATGCACCTTGTCAAGCTCCTCAACGGTCTCCTTGTTGCTAACCTCTTCCACAACAACCCGCTCAGTGAAAGACGCAACTCAGCTTATCGGATAGCAAGAGGCGATGTGCCATATCTGTGGCATTTGAAGCATTGCCTGGTGGGGGTTGTAGTAGGCATGCTTCTCTTCTCAGGCTTCTTTTCATCGAGAGTGGCTCTATCCTTCATCCAAACCAGTTTTCTTAGCTCCCTGAGGTGTGCTCATGCTGGTGTCGCCAACTGTGGATGGTTATCTGATTGGTGGTGGTTGTTTGCTCTCTTTTTTCTATCTTTTCACTTTCAATACTAAGGTCTGAATATCCCCAAACGAACGATAAGGCTGCAATTGTACCACATTGCTAATAGCAGGCTTCAGGCACCCAAGATACAGGACTACAGTGTGCTCTTCAGGCTCGTTCAGCTTGCATTTCATCTGCAAGTAGACGAACCAAGTTGCAAACTCCTCCACTGAAAGGTCTCGCTATTGCAGGTGCTGGAGCCTCAAAAATATGCCCTAGCGGCAATGAGATGTAAGGTATTTATTCTACATTGCTTTCTTCATCTTATTCCACTAGGTAATTATATCATTGTCTACTATTTTCCTTTGTCTTTGTAAGTTCTCACACCACAAAAATGCACTATTTTTTAACTTGATAGCAACTAATTTGACTCGTTAATCCTCAGGCACATATTTATATTCGAAAATCCTTTCAACAGAATGAAGTCAATCAAAAAACTCATTCGGATCCATACCTCCCTCAAACTTTGGTAGATCCATTTTGACGTCAAATCCTGATGTAAAAAATGTCACTAGTTATATTATCATGCTATGTATTATTTCATTGATTATTATTTCATTATTTTAACCTGATGTAAAAAACGTCAAAGTCCTTGTGGACTTCATACATGGTCTCTTCTCTCGACCTCCTCTGATATTGAATTCCAAAGTGGTGTGGATGATATTCCCCGTCGTTGTTATCTTCCCTATGGAACGGATTTATAATAAGAAAATAACAACACAATCATAGTCGACTCTCTAGGGTGAGTGTGAGAGTGGAGGACGACGGCTCGAGAGCAAGATGAAAGGAAAGTGGATATGCAATGGCGGATAGCAAGTGATTGGATGGGAGTTGCAGTCAGCAACAGAGAGTTGTATGTAAGAAGGGGTGCAGCAAGTAGCGGAGGTCTGGGATTCCAGCGGCCCGCAGAAAGAAGGTTCAGAGGTTGGCGGCTAAGATCAAGGTAAGGGGAAGCAGCGAAGGAGAGTAGGGGAATTGCGATACAACGGTTGGGCAGCAGCGACTCTGGACTAGGATGGGAGTAGCAACAGGTTGGGAACAGCGGATTTGCGGCAGTGAAACAGAAAGGGTGAGAAGGTAGACAAGATGGAAGCGAGCATGTGAGGGGAAGATGAAAGGATTAATATCATTGTGGGAGTGAGTTGCAGTCAAAGCACCCAAAAAACGTTGGAAAAGATCACTACCTCAGACAAGTTACAGCTGGAGCATCTCCTTGCCTTCGGATACAACCCTAGAAAGGAAAAAGACTTCACACAGAAATCTGAAATAGATCATACAAGAATATGAACCCTAGCCAAAAAAAACACGCACATATAAAAGCTAATAGGTAAAATAAGAAGGGGAGGCGCTCACATTTGGGCGACAACCATAAAAGGTAGAGGAGTGGGTTAGCGGCAAACTGAGAAGGAAAGGGGGGTAAGGTGGGCGGCCAATCCCAACCCATAGGAAGGCCAGACGATCCAGCAAAAGGTTGGACCTCTCTAGGTCGGTCAAGCCAGCCCTTTAGCAGCCCGTTCAGGTGGATTCCCAAAGCCTCGCGTCAGTTCCCAAAACCTTTGCATCAAATTGCTTGCACAAATTGAACATGTAGAGCGTATATGACCGACGGGCCAGCTATTAGGGATAGAATTCTACAACTTTTTTTTTGCATCAAATTGCTTGCACAAATTGAACATGTAGAGTCTATATGACCGACGGGCCAACTATTAGGGATAGAATTCTACAACTTTTTTTTTAAAAATTTTCATATGTACTTGTTACAACCAAAAATGTGATAATGGTTCAAAAGAATCCCAAAATACAATAAAATCCAAATACACTGCATTTCAAATAAATATGAAATAAAAATTCCATTAACATAACAATCCCAAAGTGAAAAATAAATAAATGTAAATTAACTTTTTTTGGGATTTTAAAATATACATTTAAATTCATTTTTGAAAAATTATCGTACGCTTAAGATGAATTACAAATTCAGCATTTGTGAAGTGCCCCTCCCCGTAAATCACTTGTCATAGTGCTTACTAGTGCTAGCAAAGAATTCACCCTCGTTTGTTCTTGCATGTAACTTTGACACCCAACAAATTTTGTAACTTTATTTACAGCCAAGCAAATAACTCTCTCAAGTATCTCAATACATTGAATATACATTGCATTTAAAAAGCACTTGAATTCTAAATGCACTAAACCAAACAACCCTTTGGTAGATGCTAACTAGTTTATTAGCAGGTCATCAAAGCAAATTCTTTAGCAATGGTTATTATTTGAATTTGATATTCATTATTTAAGTAGTGCTGCTTTGTTTAGACTTGTGTTGAATTCTAGATTAGTTATAGTAGTTGTAATCAATTCTATTTCTTTTAAGTAGTTTGATGTTTTAGTTCTCCTTGGATGAAAGACTAGTAGAATTCAATAAAATTTCATCTCATATTTTTAAGATTATAGACTTTTGCCAGCATATTTTTATAAATGAATCACATTCTCTTCAATACAAATTTTTTTCATCATGTAGTGTATTGCCGAAGCATATTTTTAATACTAAATTGCCGGCGTAAAATGAACAAATCCTACCACCACGATGCTCTACTTCACCCTCCATACACTCCAATCCACCCCAACACCAATATAAACAACCTTCACTACCACAAAAATTGGCCAGGGCAAGGTCACAAAACTAAAAATGAACTGGCAATCAAAGAGGGTGAAAATCTAACAGATTGTGAACTTCCAAAAATGTTATCAAACAGCTTTGCCATAAAACTTGGTATTCAACCCAATTATTGAGATTTACAAATTAAATTTAGGATATTGTTAAAATCAAAATCTGCCCAAAACATGACCTTCCTCTTCTTGGGCATAATTTTGGCACCTCAAATAAAAAGATCTAGCCAGTATTACTCACAAATTGACAACTTTTACGAACTAATGATACTTTGAATAATACTGTGTGTAATTAAATTGGTTAATGAAGGGAAATGCTATTTAGTACACTTTCTTATTATTATGATTGTAAGTGAGGGTGGGGATTTCCATGCCAGTAGGCCATCCAGCTTTACTCCGGCTTTAAAGCCATTTCAAAAGTTCACAACACTGAGCAGATTATATTGGTTTTCTCTTACAAGATTACCTGTTAAATCCTCTTTAAGAGAATAATAATAAAAAAAAATAAGAAAAACGAAGCCCACGCATACCCAAATAATTTTTTTAAAAAAAAAGCCATACAATTCCCTACAAAGTGCTTTTATCCAAGCCTGCACAACAAAAAAATAAGCATCCTAAAATCTCAACTTACCAGGATTGTCGATCCAGGGAATCTTCCATTTTCCCTTGTAGTTGGGGTTTTTTATCCTCTGTAATATTCATATGTTGCAACAACTGAGAAACAGAAGCTAAATCTTACTCTATAAACCCAGTGTGTAACTACTAAAGAAGAGATCATGAATAAACCTTTGGTTTCCATGGCCCCTTGTACGCTGGATTTGGGATCTTTGGTGGCTTCCATATTCCGTCTTCATCTTCATCCCATGTATCAGGCTAATCGAAAAGAGAAGAAAATATAATGTCAGAACCCCCGACTAAAAAAAGGTTTTAACAGCTGAGAACTGCAAATTTTTCAGGCAAATATTACAAATTATTCAGTGAGAAGTATCTGAGAAGTGCATTCATTGCAAATAATTTAAGCTGTCTGTTGTGTACCTTTTTGGTTTTTGGGTTAGGAATTTCAGCTGGAATAGAATCATATCCCTGCATTACATTGACAAATTGTAAGAAACAGGACACTTATTACTTTCAGAAGATGAATTAATATCGCATATACTATTCCGTAGACAACCTCAGGTTTAACATCATCAGGATCATCGATATATTCCCTATCATCCCAATCTGCAGGCTACATGCAATATGCACACATAAGAGGAACAAGCATAGAAGCAAATAAAAGAGTTATTGATTAGCCTTTAAATAGAAGCAAATAAAAGAGTTGTTGATTAGCCTTTAAATAGAAGCAAATAAAAGAGTTGTTGATTAGCCTTTAAACGACTGTAAAAATAAAACGCTGTTATACCTTTTTGGCATTAACAGATTTGATCTTACGAGGTGGAAGAATATCCCAATCAGTATACAGGCTTCCAGATTCTCTTTCTCGATTGTCAACCAGGATACTGTAAGAGGCATCAGGTCTAAGGATAAATGTGTAAAAGTGTGTCAATTTGTCCGTCTCACACTGCAAATCCTTCTTGATGGGATAGTTCTGTCCCTGATATGAATATATCAGATGAAGCTTCTTTGTCTGGGTACCACATATATCAGGTCCAAACATTAAACTGCATGGGAGAACATTATTAGTTCAGATAAATTATGTGAAGTACTACATCGTTTGTTGAATTAAAAAGGTGCTCGTGTGAGTGCACGGATGTGAAGGAGCACACTAAAGAAAACAAAATTGCGTTCAGAAATCCTATCTCCATAGTTCTAAAATACTATGTCGTGCTGCTAAACCAAAACAGATTGTTAAATAAACTGCATAATCATACCATATGGGCCCAAGAAAGAAAGGGTAAGGTAAATTTGTAAGGACTGCAACATATTTTCTAGCAGCATTACAAGTTGCTATAGTAAAAATACAGTCTCCTCTGACGGCCAGTCAAAAAAAAAACAAGAACATGAACATGCTGTGTAGCATCATCACAAATTTTTATACTATAAAAAGTTTCCTGACCAAGATCCAAACCAAAAATAGTATAAAATGAATACTACTCCTTTAAACAGTAGTATAGCTAGTGAAACAAAAGCCTTTTGATAGCAAATGAAATTTAAAACTCAGTTAAGGATATGGACCATATTAATGATGCATATCCAATATCAAAGAAAATGTGAGCGTTGAGGTGGAGGACCTGTATGGTGTATCACCGCTGAATTTCTTCTGGTTGACATAACCGGAATGAAGTTTGATGTAACCACCGCCACATTCAATGTCCTGCTCAAACTTTATGGAGTATTGTAGCACTAATGTTCTATTCTTGTTACTGAACTCTGGAATTTTTGCGGATATTGCAAAATGTCTAGTATCTGGGTATGTCTGAATCCCTGGAAGCTTACCAAAAAAATGTCAGCTTCAATTTAACCAATAGATATGGAAAAACATATATGCCAATAACATGGCAGAATAAAACTATCTTAACAAAAAGAGTGAAACATATGAAGTCAATGGGTTATATATGCCTTTGTCATCAGGGTCACCAGCCCAGTTTCCCGCAGTGTGCTTAAAGGAGCCAGCCTTGCCTTCACTTTTTTTCCAGTCTGATCTCACCCACCGGCTCTCCCAGCCATCTTTCAGAATTAAAAATATATATATTATAACAAAAAAGGTTGAAGCATGGATAAAAGCATTAGCATAAAGAAAAAACAGAAAGACAAGAAGTAATTTACATGGTTGAAAAGGCAAGATAAAGTAAATGCTTAAAATTGAAGTAGAAAAATAAAGACTATAAGTAATTTTCAGGAGTAAAAATTCAAGATAGCACTCGATTTAAATGGAATATATGACGGAATCTTATAACCCTTTGTCAAAATCTCAGAATCATCATGACAAACAACATTGTCATCATAAGCCTTATGCCAACCTACGAACGGGCTTTATAAATCATCATCATCATCTATTCATCCATGATGACTATTGCATGAGGTGTTAAGCCTATTTTGTGCAAATCTTCTGGCATAACTTATTTCCAGGATAACTTTGGTGGAGATGTCCTTTGTAATTGATGTCCAAATCATGCAACTTAATTCTTCAAACCTTACCTTCAAGAAGTGCTCCTCCAATAATTCACTCCTAACTTATCATTTTTTTTTTTTCATAGATTTATTCTTTCTCATTTCTACTATGTTTAGCTTAACATGTCAACTTGTTTACTGCCCAAAACTTCCATACAATATAGCTAGGTCAAATGCAATGTTGATAAGTCATTACATGAAATCAAATAAAAAGAGTCAACATTTGTACTCAAAGATGCGCTCTAGATGACGGTTATTTGGAGTTCCTGTCGAATGTTGATGGAAGTGGATGGTTTTATCAACAACATTACTGTTACGACCCGGCCGGAGGCTTGAAATTAATCAAGGCGTGTACAGATAGTTTGATAATGTGTCAACAACATTACTGTTACGACCCGGCCGGAGGCTTGGAATTAATCAAGGCGTGTACAGATAGTTTGATAATGTGTATTAAATTTTCTATATTCGTCTAAAATTTAACAGATGAAAGAGTCATTGCAAATTAATTTAAATGATACAATTAAAATTACCCAATTAATGATTATTCGCGTCTTCTATAAACGTTTTGTCGTCTATTGCCCGTCTTTTAATAATTTCATTAAACCTAAAAAGTTAGTTAAAACCACTTTGAGCTAAATGAGCCTGTAAATACTTACTTCTAAATTATAACAATATAAAAAAAAGCAATATGCATGCCAGTTAAGCTTCTTTATAAATTAGTATAAACATTTGACATTCTACTCAAAGAGGTTTATAACAATATCATATCAATTTCATTTTATATCAATACAACTGTAACAGGAGGCATTATCTAAAAATTGTGTCAATTAAAACATCAATATTTTTTTTCATTTACGTGCATTGGTACATTAGTATTCTCCCACTAATACCATCAATGGGTGCTCCATCATAGCTAGTAATGCACATAAAACAGTCATCATAAACATATGTATTCATCACATTCAATTCAACATGCTATATAAAGCACATATCAAATGCATGAATAAGTAGTTACAACATCTATAACAATATGACCAATAAAAAGAATAATATCTCAATCAAAATAAAGCGCACATAAATATCATCTACTGTAAATATATTTGAGAATAAACAAATTATTACTATTGCTAGAAAATAAATGTACTCACCTCGATTAAGCATAATTTGTTATTGGCCTTGACATCGATTTCTCTAAAAATTGAAAGCCTAACGCGTGATATAAAATTTAATTAATTTATTATTTTTAAATTAACTATTAACTTTTCATTATTTAAACATTAATTTTTTTTTTATATAATCATGCTTAATTTCTATTCAATAAAGATACTTTTATATATAAATATCTTATTATTTTTATTATTATTAAACCCTTACCTTGTTCCCTCCCCCTATGCACGGAGAAGAAAACATGTAACCTCTCTTCCTTTCCAAGCTTTCGGTCCAAAGAGGAAGGCTCCGCACTTCTCCTCTTTCCTCTCCGTGATCCGCACGTCAAAGTCTCCTTCCTCTACAAGCCGAAACTTCTTCTTCTACACGCAAGCGGCTACAGTTCAAGTCTTCTTCTTGGATAGAACCCACACGAGACTTCGCCTCTCCCGCTTGAGTTTGCTTCCTCCCGCTTCCTCTTCCTCTACATGGTACCAACACCACTTCTTCCACCACTCAGCAAAGACGCCGCTTTGCCCTAATTCTCACTTCGTCCTCGCCGCTTGGCTCCAGGTAAGTCGGTCTAAGTCTTAAATATGTGATTTTGCTTTTTTGACTTCCTAACTTCTTCTCCCTTCCTCGCTCGGTTTCACGACTCCTCAATCCCTCTTCTTCGATTTCACGATCTTCTCGCTTCTTCTCCTCCTTCCATTCATTTGGCTCGACCCCTCCCATCCTCTTCCATGATTCTTCGTTTCCCCTCCCCTATGTACAGAACCGTTATAATCACACAAAACATTAACATGAAGGACTCTCTGATCTACAACCAAAATTGTCCCTGATAGAAAAGAAGGATCCCAATGAAATGAGAGAATCTCAAAGAGCAAATGAAAAGGAGGGATCCCAGTGAAATGAGAGAATTTCAAAGAGCAAAGGTGAGATAACGTAGAGTTAATCGGTACCTAATAACAATTCCCTCCAAGTATGGTTATCCCCTAAAAGTAGATTTTCATAAATAAATAACATATCATTTTGAAAAATTTGACAGCCGTCATGGACTGTATTTCTAAGGAAAATACCAAATTATTGCATTTCATATCAAATCCTTAGGATAGGAATCTAAATCAAGTATGTAATCATCTCAACCACAGAGCTCTCAATTACACAAAAAAACAAATAATCAAGAGAGACCATGCTTCTTACATAAAATCACTAAAAGTAAAAAACTAGGAGACTTGACCCAAATGATAAGCTATTATAATAAGCATTAAAAGATTAAAGGTTTAGTTTATCCTTAAATAACGGAATTCAAACAACTACACACCTTCTAGCAAGTAGAGACTAATTAGTTGGTCGTGGCAAGTTGTAAAGCATGGTATACACCATCAGATGAAGAAGCTGGGGGTCAAAAAATCAACCAAAAAAATAAAAGATAAAACCTAATTTGGTTCTAATCAAGACAATCCATCTTAGCGTCCATAATGAAGGGCAAATTAGTATCAAGGGGGAAGGATAGCCTGGTACTAGTAATAGAGACTGATTTGTGGTTTTTTTAGCCCATTCGGGCATGTTACGGCACCGATTCAGCTATACAAAATCAAATGAAACTCTGGCTCAACCTTTTGCAAACGCTTCGAGATCTCCACACCACACTTTAAATTGTGAGAAACTCTGGCTCAACCTTTTGCAAATGCTTCGAGATCTCCACACCACACTTTAAATTGTGAAAGATCAAACAAACCATTCTACTTTAAAAGAGATGCCATGACATCCACATCCTATCAAACAATTTATCGGAACTAAAACATCGAAATCCAAAGAGGTTGCAGCTCAACATTAAAAAAGCATCAAACACTATCAGACAAGCAGACTTGACTATTATGGATAGTTTACTCGAATCGGAAAAAAAAAAAAAAAAAAGAGAATCTCTCACAAAGAGATAAGCAAGTTGAAATCACCTTCAAATCGCTCTTCAAAGATTATCTCGCAAGAAGAAGGAGAAAAGATTAGGGCGAGGATGAAGAGGAGGATCAACAGCATGGGGTTGAGCTGAAGCTCCTACTACCAGCTTGAGTGAGCAGCAGCTAGGGCACGCTCCACCCTGTACGTGTGAGATCGAACCCCACCCAGCCGCTCTTAGGTCAAAACGCACTACTGTTACCCGTCCCCAAAAACATTATTAATATTACTTTTTTTTTTTCAAAATAGAGAATTAGACGAATGTCTATGCTGAAAAAAACCCAAGGGACGTCGCGATCAGCCCACACCATTCATAAAGAATAAGTTCATAGATCTTGAAATGTTATTGGCAGGAATCATCTCAACAATGAGAAACAAAAGTTGGGATAATTTTCGAGATGACTTTCTCCTGTTTGGCTCATTTCGGAGGTTTTGCTAAGACAGATCGGGGATAACCTTCAGGGAGACTTTCTCGTGTTGTTACACTAAAAAAGATCGCAAAAGGAAATCTCAGTGGTTAACTTTCAGGATTGTTTTCTCCTGCTTCTTCACGGCAGAAGACCGCAAAAGAAAATCTCGGAAGTCAGTCTCTGATAACTTTTAAGACGGTTCTACCC